GGCCATTAGTCTATCTTCTTTTGAAAAGTTTCTGTTCATGTCCTTTGCCCACTTTTTGATTGGGTTGTTTGATTTTTTTCTTGCTGATTTTCCTGAGTTCTTTATAGATTCTAGTTATCAGCTCTTTATTGGATGTGTAACATGCAAATATTTTATCCCATTCTGTAGGTTATCTGTTTGCTCTCGTGATAGTTTCCCTTTTTATTTATCTTTTGGGAACTCTGAAATAGGACCAAGTCCCCTAGTCTTCCATACACCCATCACTTCCCACTGTAAGCAGACACTCTGATTGTGTGATTACCCAGTAAATAATATCCTTAGGCACATTTCCACTTCTCTAAGTGATTCTTACCGCATGACTAGTGATCTCACTAGCCATTATTTCCTATCTTTTCTTATTTTTCTCACAACTAAGTGTGCCTACTTTTTTTTGTTGGGTGCTATATCTTCAAAAAAATAACCCAGATTTCTCAGAAACCAAAGGTCTCTGGAGCTTTCATCTAGCTGTATAAAAATAAACAAAAAAAGAAGCTATGCAAATAAACCATACTTAGTTTAAATATAAAATCTACATGCAAATGTATCAATGTTGTTCCTATTCTCATAAACATTCTTAGTTTTGGTTAGATGTTAATTTTGTGTTATTCTGCTACTTTTCAATTTTTATTTTTCCCCATTATCCATCCATCTAACCATCTACTCAGCTAGTGTTTATACATCCATTAAGCTAGTATAATTACTAATATGTTTATACTATTTATCGAGTTTATTTATTCCTCATTACAACAATCCTTTAGGTAAGCACCATTCCCATTCTTCTATGTTTTAGGAAGTCTGAAGCTCCCTTTATTTCTACCTGGGTCTGTCCAGGTTTGTTATATTCCTTCTGGCAGAATTTTGAGGCAAGCAGAACTGAGAGACCACAAAAGCTATTGAGTTCCACAGTAATGTGGGAATATCATAACATGACAAAGATAATCTACTAATTTATTTACTTGAAATTTTGTTATACTTTATAAAATATTTCAAATATATAAGGAAATAACAAACAATGACATAATACCTATCTGTGCATTGACTACTCAGATTTTAACATGTTACCATTTTTACACTGATTGCTTTTAAAATAATGAAACCATTAGAGTTA